GATTAAACTTAAGCTCCATGAATGATTAAAAGAAAAAGTACTGGTAGTCACATATATGCATTCAAAGTAGACCTGAATTTGGAGAGCTTGGGCACACCTCCAATGTTCTGTTCCTTTCTATTGCCATCATAAAAGTCATCCAGTGGGATTAATGTCTACTGACAATCTGTATCATATTTATTGCCACTTTTTTGTCTATTAAAACAAGAAATCCTATTCTAGTACTTATTTATTACTAAATATAACATATTTGAACACTGGGAAAAATCTGCTAAATCAATTTTTTTGTCCTTCAAAATGGTAGGAGAAAGAAACATAACTATAATTTTCCTTCTTGAGAATGTTTAATAAATGACTGCAATTTTATTTATCTAAATCATTGCCTTTTAAAAGTATAAATGCAAAGATCAATAAAACCACTAGGATTTTCAGAGCAGTTTGATTCTGACACAGCTCTTACATTTAAATTAATAAAATTAATTCTCATTTATTATAATACTTAACAAAGAAAACACATTACTTTAAATTTATTTTTATAAATAGGAATAATTTTATGTTGAATGGGTTTAAAATACTTTCATGTTACATACTTTTTATTAATAACCCAGGATTATTAATCATTACCAGTCATTACTTCAGAAACATCAAGATAAGATCTACCTGGTTGGTAGTGTACCATGGTGGAAGACCATGTTAGCAAAGGCAATGTTCAGACCATGTTAGCAAAGGCAATGTTCAGTGTGAATAATTTCCAGGGAACCAACAGAAGGATATACCTTTAACAAGTTAAACCAACCTCATAATGACATGGGTAGAAGTTCAAAGAGTAAACAAATCTGTATAATCTTCTTTCTACATAAGACAATTTTCTCATCATATTACACCAACCCAACTAACATTTATTTCAGTTGAACTTCTACCTGATGGTAAATGAGTGCTATTAAAGTTCCAACTGGAAACTTTAGGTAAGACATTTTAAAACTTCATGACAAGCAATATATTAGCAATGTATAAAGTATATTTGAATTTATTTTGTATTTTCTCCTGAAAGAAATATCAATCATTACAAGGCTGTGGGTTAACTTTTGATTTATTTCATTGTTTCCCTTTGAAAAAGATTTCAGTTCTATTTTAAAATAATTTGAGGGTTTTCTCCCCAAGCACTACACTTCAGAATTATTTTATAGATATTGAAGGAAAGGTATTATAGAGTAACAAAATAGAGTTTTATCTAATATTAGCTCATTAGTCTCTTTAAAGTCCCATCTCTTACCACATTCCCTACTGATGTAGAGGTGTTTTTTTTTCCTGCTTTAGGCAAAATTAACACAATAATATAAATATTATATATAGTTATAAATAAATATAAATAACATAAATTAACAAATAAGATTTATACTCATGTATGGTAAAGGCAAAGATTATTATCACAAGCAACCATGATGATCTTTAAAATAGAATGTGTATAAATATCAAAATGTCATCCTTTTCATTTGAAAATGTAATGAAAATGTCATTACATTTTTTTAATATTGTGTAATGGATAGTATACATAGTCAATATCAAATTTATTTATTTTAAAAAAGAAATTTAAACTTTCTCTAAAGAAAATCCTGTTGTGAAAGCAATAACCAGTTTGGTAATATAAATACCATGTTTATGTTTTTTTGTATAGTTAAATAAATCACAACCTTTGTTGACATCATCTATGATAAGATGTATTTATATCCTTATAATATGTTGGCTTATCATTTGAATACACCTTATTTCATAGATAAAATAATCATAATTTTAAGTGTAATCTCAAAAATGTTCTGAAAAGAGTAGACTAGCTTTTCTATAATATTAAGATCATTAAAGTTAAAATGATGAAATTGGACCCTCATTTTTGGAAAAACATTTTTACACTTCTTAAAACTTTACAATCAGTATGTTTTCTTCATTTAGCTTTCTGTTGAATTTAACAAAAGAAACGACCCTTATTGTTTGATAAATTTCTGATTTACTGACTGATTTCTGATTTACTGATTACTTTACTGAAACCCTTCCTAAAAGTCAGTTTATGGCAAAGCACTGGTTTCCTTCATGCATATTGCTTATCGCTCTTGGCAAGGAACTTCAAACTCCAAGATGTGTCAACTACCACATCCTTAATGAAAACATTCATATTTTTACCCTTAGATCTTTCCATTGCCAAAACACACAAATAAACAAAGTAGAAGCAATATCTACTCTGTAACAGCTTTTAACCTGTGTGGTTTCATCTGCAGGCACTGGCCACTTTCTCTACTTAGAAGAGGGAGAAGGAATTAAATGAGAAATGTAATAGTTTTTATACATGTCTTTATTCTAGGATTTATGCTTCTTAAACAACATTATAATATATATTTAAATATATATTATCTTATATATTGTATACACAATTATATAAGTTGTAATATTTTTAGTCATTTATTTCATTTCTGTATATAAATAAATTTTGTCCTACTAACGTAGGCTTACAAAATCCTCCTGGGATTTTCCAGTTGAGAAAATCTAGCTTCATAAGTGTTAAGCAGCACAAACTTAATTTAGGATTATTTGACCTACAAGTCTGAAAATCTAAGTTTTTTCACAAACTATGCAGACTTTAATGTTTTATAGTGATTTTTATTTAATTTTCTAATCTTCCACTGATAGATTATATAATGAACATGGGGAGCATCTCCGTGATTCATTTTTTTTTAAAGATTTATTTATGCATATAAGAGCTGGGGTACAGGCCAGAGATGCAGGGGGATAAGAGGATTCACCAGAGACAGAGTAGGCAACAGAACAGGCAAATCAACTGAAATACACTGCTGAGGGGAGCTGTGGGCGAGACAGAAGAGGTCTGCTTTGCCAGGTGGGTTGCTCCCAGGCTGGCTTGGGATCGAACTCATGCTGCAGAGGCTGCAGAGTGCCTCATAGTGCAGTGGTTAACCCCTTGCGCCACCAGGGAGGCCCCTGTGATTCATTTTTTGCCTAGGAGGGAGTTCTGTGCTCAATAAACACACAGAAACTGAATGAAAGATTATATTTTAATTGTCTAAAATTGGATATAATTTTCTTTGGTAAATAAAATGAATAACATTGTGACCAGTTCTTTATTCTAGCAGATCATGACCACCATTTTAAAGTCTCCTGGCAAGTGACTATGGACCAGGTTAACCCAAGCAGGCAATTTTTATGCATACAGTACTGCACAGAGGCTTGAATTGAAATCTATCCCGTGAACTGTATGACTGATTACTCTGCTAACTTTAAATAGTACTTTGTAAAAGTAACTATTTTGGTTAAGTAGTCAATATTTTGTTTCAAATTATCTTTGGTGATAGGGGAACTCAACACTAAAAATACAAGATTTCTAATTTCAGCAAATTTATTAAAACAAAATAAGTCATCTTTCTTATTCACAGACACATTCACACACATACTCAATTTTCATAGAGATTATTTTACTTGGATGATTTATCTTACATTATCCAGTGTGGGTGGTACACATTAATGTTGTACAATTTATATTATACAGTTATATACAACAAAGATTATGTCAGCATGTTTGGGTAGTCTGTGGTCTACCCAGATAGATGCCTTATTATTAGGGACACGTGACACACTCTGATGGACAATCTCTTCTAGTGTTTAGCACAATAGGATCTGGGAGCCAAATTGCCATAAGGCTTTTACCACCAGTTACTTTTTTCCTCATTACAGCTTTTTTTTTCCTCTATGAAATTGATAAGATACGTAACTTCTCTGTGCAATGGTTCCTTTGATATGGGAATAATTACAGCTCATATCTCACAGAATTTTTATATGAGAAATAAATGTGATGAATACATATAAAATACTTCACACAAAGTGTGAGTATAGTGAGTTCTTCATAAATGCTAGCACTTTTTAAAAACTGAGTCTAGGGGTCTCCTTGGTGGTGCAAGGGGATAAGACACAGTGCTATGAAGTTATCTGCAGCCACTGCAGCTCGAGTTTGATCCCTGGCCAAGGAGGTGACCCACATGGCACAGCAGACTTTTGCCTGCCTTGCCCACTGCGCCCCTCAGCAGTTTATTTCAGTAGATCTACCTGTTCTGCTCCCCACTCTGTCTCTGGTGAATCCTCTCGCCCTATGCATCTCTGGCCTGCACCCCAGCTCTTGTATGCATAAATAAATAAATCTTTAAAATAATAAAATAAAAACTGAGCCTAGATGTAAAGTCGCTCTTATTCACATAGGCTAGCTAGTTTTTGAACAGCTCTTTTTATGAAATCATGCTAGAATTAACAATTTTCCCCAAGCAGCTCTTTTTCAATAGTAATATTAACCATCATCTCTTACATGTATTATTTGTATATAGTTTGTTCATTTACTTATACATTTTTCTCAGTGATAAATGATTTCTCTAACATATTATTAAATTAGTAGTAAGTAGTACACTTACTATATATCTGTTTGCATTAATATTTTTATAAGCATTCTCTAAAGTAATTTTATTATTGGTAACTAGTAAATGTAATATTTGTCATAATGATAATATAAAAATTGCATTAGATAATGGAAAGCCTATAGCATTAGCATTTCTACTTTTCTGAGTAAGTTCTGGCCCAATCTAAGATTTCAGTACCTAGGCCTGAATGTATGATTGAGATAGACAGTGACTTCAAGCAATTTAAGAGTAAAAATTTAACAATCATGAGACACAAAGAAAGTGTTAAAGGAGCAAGTTTAAGAAATGGATCAGAAAGCAAGGATCACAACCAAAGCTAAAGCAACATGTTGAATGGCATGACATGTGTTAATCCTAAACCTGTAATTACAATAAAATATGAACTTATCATGACTAATATCACTTGGTAGAGAGAAGGCTCTTAAGAGTATCGATTTGAATCAAAACTGAGAAATAATGTCTTTCTTTTTGTTTGGAAAACAGAGAAATTCGTTTGTGTCACATCTCATCAAAGCTTCTACATCAAACTACATCATGTTAAACAAGATAATTCTACTGTTGATGCTTCAGATAAGTCTCCTAGGAATCTCTCTTGGTGGGAATGTTCTGATTTGGCCAATGGAAGGTAGTCATTGGCTAAATGTTAAGATAATTATAGATGAGCTGATTAAAAAAGAGCACAATGTGACTGTCCTAGTTGCCTCTGGTGCACTTTTCATCACACCGACCGCTAACTCATCTCTGACATTTGAAATATACAAGGTGCCTTTTGGCAAAGAAAAAATTGAAGGAGTAATTAAAGACTTTGTTTTGACATGGATGGAGTATAGACCATCTCCTTCAACTATTTGGAGATTCTATCACGAAATAGCCAAAGTTATCAATGACTTCCACATGGTATCCAGAGAAATCTGTGATGGCGTTCTCCAAAATTCACAACTGATGGAAAAGCTGAAGAAAAGCAAATTTGAGGTTCTAGTGTCAGATCCAGTGTTTCCTTGTGGAGATATAGTAGCGTTAAAATTAGGAATTCCATTTATATATTCCTTGAGGTTTTCTCCCGCCTCAACAGTGGAAAAGCACTGTGGGAAGGTACCATACCCTCCTTCCTATGTTCCTGCTATTTTATCAGAACTCACCGACCAGATGTCTTTCACTGACAGAATAAGAAATTTCATCTCTTACCATCTACAGGACCACATGTTTAATACTCTTTGGAAATCTTGGGATTCCTATTATAGTAAAGCTTTAGGTATGTAGCTTTTTAAAATTATTATTATTTGAATTTAAACAAAGCTTTTAATAACCTCATTTTTATTCCCCAGGACTATTCTTTTTCTGTCTTATTTATTGATCACTACCTATTTCCATCATTTGGCTTCTTTATATCATTTACAATATAGGACCTCCCTGGTGGTGCAAGGGGTTGAGCACAGACCTGTGAAGCTATCTGTGGCCTCTGCAGCATGAGTTCAATCCCTGGCCAGCCAGGGAGCTGCCCGATAATGCAGCAGACCTGTCCTGTCTCGCCCGCTGCTCCCCTCAGCAGTGTATTTCGGTCATTCTGCCTTCTGTCTCTGGTGAATCCTCTCACCCCCTGCAACTCTAGCTGACACCCTGGCTCTTGTATGCATAAATAACAAAAGAAAGAAAGATAAAAGACAATATGCTTCAGAGCTGCAATAGGAGTTCTTTTTGTTTCCTAATTTTGTGTACTTGAGGATACCAACATAACTATAAGTTATTTCACGGGTAAGATAAATTGACAAAATGAAAATAAAACTGGATTCTCATTCATTTAAATATTGCACTGAATATGGAAATTGCCAAGAAATTTTAGTGGTGTATGGGGAAAACTGAAAGAGATTAAGCTTTCCAGAAGTCCATTATGGACACATAGGTGTGTGTGTGTGTATGCTTAAAAGTATCTATTAAATAGAAAATTTCTGATCATTGCTCATAGATTTCCTACTATTTACTAGGTACTCCTTCAGTGTCCAGAGATTATAACAAACATGAAAATGAAGCCCCAGGCTTCAAGGGCTCCACAGTAAACCAGAGCAGTCAGATATAAGGGGAATTATATACAATATTAACAATGTGGATGTGACAAATATGTGTAAAGTTCCGAGCTAGTACAAAGGAGATAGGCATTATGTGGAAGGAGAGAATGAGTCTGAAAAAATTCAAAGTTGAGGTGATGCTCAAGTTTTCTGAACAATATATATGAACTTTCCTAAAAATTAAATGTGGGGAATGAAACAGTGAATCCAATGTTGTGGAATCTCAAAAACTCACACATATACTTTGATGATCTTTATTTATCAATGTTAAAGTGCGAGCTGAACAGACAGGGGGGAGAAAGCTGGAGATGTTAGGATTACAAGAAAGAATTAATTCAATTAATATTTACTTTTAGTGTATTTTTCTCATGGTAACAGTAATTTACAAAATTATATGATTCAGAAATGTATGTTCACACTTCTTCGGATGTATGTTGCTATACCACATGCACCAGCAAGGCACCTGTGGTCCTCCAACATAGTCTATTGTCACCCTCTTCCATTTGCTCTCCATCCTACTCTCAGCCTCTTGAAGCCCCAGTTTTGTGTCAGTTTTGGGGAGGTTTGTTTTTGGTTTGATTTTGACTCTTTGTTTATATTCCACCTGTGAGTGAAAACATCTGATATTTCATTTAGCATAATCCCCTCCATATTGAGATGATGGAAGAGTTCATTTATTTTTAGAGCTGAGTAATATTTCATGTGTACATAAACCACATTTTCTTAATCCACACCTCTGTCCTTGGGCACTTAGGTTGTTTCCAATTCTATGCCAAAATAAATAAATAAAATCTTTAAAAACAAACAAAGAAACAAAAAACTCCTATATCTTTTTGGCTAGGAAAGTCTTTATTATTTCTCATCCATATCTTTAAGAGAGTCTATATTTGTGTATTTGAATACTTCAATTCCATCACTCCTTTTCCATAGGTTTTCTCAGAAAAGTCTGATGTAAGCCTGAAGGGAGTACTTATATAGGTTATTTGCCTTTTTTTCTAGCCAGTTTCAACATTTATTCTTTGTCTTAAATTCTTGATAGTTTCACACTCTGTGTCTTGGCATACGTCTCATAACATATAAATAACCAGATGTTATTTTAGTTTTATGGATGTGTATATTTAGTTTGGGAAGTTTTCCTCTATTGTTTCTTTATATAAGATTTCTGCTCCCCTCTCTGCTACCTCATTTCCTTCTGGATAACTCATTATTCTTATATTTCCTTTTGTAATAGAGTCAGATAATTCTTGAAGTATTTCTTCATTTTTTTTCCTTCATATTTCCTTTTCTTCTTCCACCTTGGTACTTTGTCCCTATCATACTCACATATCATGTCATATGACCACTGATTCAGTCTTTAATTGGTCTACTCTACTTCTATAGCTTTCAGATTTTTCTCCCTCCTGTGTAGACCTCTTTATATTCTGAATCTCTGTTATTTTCTTAATTAAAGCTTCAGTTTCTCTTTGATGTTCATTAATTATATTTGTAAGGTCATTCATTTATCTTTCTGAGTTTTCTTATATCTCTTTAATAAGTTTTCTGTGTTTTAATTTCTTTGAATTTCCTTATCATAGTGATCTTGAAATCTATAACTTATAGAAGGATAAAATTTTACATGTTTTTGAGGTTGCATTCTGGAAGGTTTTTTTCTCATTGTGATGACACATGTCCTTGAGGATCAAGATGCCTTGTATTATATTTCCTATGAAAGCATGTCCCTATATTTTTTAAGTCTATAATAATAACTTAGAGATTTGCAGTACTACTTTTCCAGTAGATGGCACTGTTTTCTTGTTTGTTTTTTAAATTTTCCCCAGAGTTATATTATTTTAGAGGTTTGGCCTCTTTCCAAGCTATTGTAGATCTGAAGATGTGATCCTGCCGCTGCTGGGTCAATGGTGAGAAAGTGCCTGAATGCTGTGGAGGTGGGGGCAGGGGACTGGTTCATGCCTGTGACACTGTTGATGTCCTTCCTCTCTGTGGTCCCAGAGTCCAATCTCTGTAGATTACACACTGTCAGTGTGCCTTACAAGGTTAATGCCAGCCTGGAAGGATGGGATATATGGAACAATGCTCTTGTTCCATTCACTGTGGACCTAGATTCTGGGAGTACATCAGCTCCTTAGCACATACATACCCTCAGTCAATGTTATGTGTCTCCTTACCAGTTAGGCCCCCTCTCTGGGCTTGCAAACCTTGTGGGAAAGTTTTTAAGGCCACAATCTCCAGGCATTTCTCTCCACCTTCCTCTTGCTAAATGAAGCAAGAATCTCCTCATTGTGCTTTCTGGTACAGTCTGTGCTAATCCCCCATGTACAAGAGATTTTCCAGTTCTGCCCCATGCCAAAGGACCTTCTGGTACAGCACTAGTGTGGGCTAATTTCGGATTATTTTCCTGGGAACAAAACAAGAAACATCCTTAAATGCCATCTTTGACCAAAAGCTTAATAAATATTTTCAAATTTCCTTATATGTAATGCTAAGCATTTTGATTTTATGGGAACCAAACTGTGAAGCATTTCAAAGGATATAGTATGACTAGACTGTATTTTATCTAAATCAGTTGAACAGACATGTACCTTGAGTAGATGGTTGTTAAACTGTGGCGTACTGCAAGGAAGAACGTATTAGAACAGGCTCTTGATAAACAATTTTCACTTACTCATATGGGACCGTGGAAAAGTAATTAAGTCTCTTTGTACTTTGCAGTTATTTATGTTATCTCTAACAGAGCTCCTGAAAGGACTAAATTTGTTAACATATAACAGGGACTTTCAAATAGTGTCTAGGAGAAACTAACCAGCAAGTATTGGTAACTGATCAAGTGAAATTAATAAAAGTTGCCGATAGTAGAAGATTATTAAGAAGGGTGACGACGAGGTTAAAATGATTTCAATATTTCTGATTTCAGTAACTGAAAAAGGGCACAATTAACCGAAATGGTGAACATGTGAGAGAGATGATTTGGGAATGAGAATGATGCATTCCATTTTGGGCAAAGTGTATATGAAGTGCTTTGGGGAATATCTGGTTAAGTCCAGTAAGCACTTTGATATATGGGATGAAAATGAGAATGATAGGGAGTGCCATTTGTGAGAAAGTTAAGTGTCATCTAAATAAGAATGGTATGATTTTACTCTCTGATGATCACCTAATTTCCAAGCTTCCTGCTTTCCTTTTATATGCAGCTTGCTTGACAGAATAATTAATTTCTATGCTATACTTTGTACATGTAGAATAATAAATGCTTTTTTATTTCTTTTTAAAATTTTTTAATATATTTTATTTTATATAATTCTTACATCATTTTTTTCATTTTTGCACAATGTATGCATTTTCATTTTGGTTATATTCCTCATACAATTCTGCCCCCCTTATTTTGACCCTAATCCCTTCTCTTCTCCTCCCCTCCCCCTGTAGTGTGTCTCTGGTTTATAGTTGCTTGTTGATTTTGATTTTTTTCTTTATTATAATTAGCCCTTTTCCTGGTCCCTTATTTAGGTTTTCTAAATTCCTGCTATGAGTGAGACCATCCGGTATTTTTCTTTTTCTTTCTGGCTTATTTCGCTGAGCATGATCCCTTCCAGATCTATCCATGTTGCTGTACATTGCATGAGTTTATCTTTTTTGATTGCTGAATAATATTTCATTGTGAACCCATTGTGATCCAGTCATTTATTTTTGGGCATTATAAATGCTTTCTTATATAGCATATTTCTGAAACTATCAAAAATCAAATGATTTAAAGTTAAGCATTAGGCTTATATGTTATTTATATTCCCAGAAAGCTAAAATCATTTCACAGTGCATATTACACTCATATTTTGAATAGTTTTAGATTTTGAATATCCAATATTTTAACATGATTTCATGATAAGCCTCACAAGCATGCACTTAACACCAATGATATTCATAGAGATAAAATCTTTCCCATTTTTGACAAATTGTGTTTCTATGTTTGTTATTAAGATTTGAGGTTTAAATCAAAAAAGATAAATTCATGCCATTTTCAGCAACATGGATGGATTTAGAAGGGATTATGATCAGTGAAATAAGCCAGAAAGAAAAAGAAAAATATCACATGGTTTCACTTATAGGAGGAATATAGGGGAAACAAATAAGGGATCAGGAAAAAAAAATAACTATAACAAATTAAAAAACAAAATTAACAGGCAACTATAAATCAGAA